TGCCTGTCAAAGAAAGGCTGAGAGAAGGCAGGAGAGAATAGGAGGGGTGACTTATTTAGAAAAACCACCACACTGAAGTCGAAGGAACTATTTCTGTGCCATTATTTTAAAGGCATTTTTCTCACATGGGAAATTTGTCCATTTGTCAGAAGAAAGCCACAAATGCTCAATTCTGCATCATTCCAATAATGATCAAGTCCAAGCTCTGGCTCCTCGCTGGGGTCGGGGTTCCCTTTGGAGACCAGAGAGGTTCGAAGGGAACGGAGGTGCCCTCAGGAGACCTGGGGAGGTGCACACTTGCTGGCCTGCAGTGGCCATTCCCTCTGACCACGCAAAAAGTCAGAACAGGAGGATATCCTTCCAAGGCCTGTGCCAGGCCCTGTTCTCTCCCGCTGACTCATCCTCACCTCATCAATTCTTATATTGTCACACTCTGCCTCTCTACACCTGCATGTCTGGCTAAGAAACAGCTATTTCCTACTCCAAAGTGACGGAAACCCAGACCTCACAATGAAAGGCTGGGGCAGGCTATGAGATCAGTATCACAGATTCCTCCACTGGGCCATGGTATAACACAGGCCACCATCTAAAGGGGGTCATCCAAGCTCTCCTTGTTTGCATTTCCCCGTGAGAAAAAAAGGGAGCATGTGAGTTAGTTCAGGTCGGTAGAAGAGCACGTGACGGGCACACCACGCCTGTGTCCACACTCCGGGCTTCTAGCATCCACCCTTAGGAAGGGTCAAGAGGCTTAGGTGGGATAAAATCACAGAGCCACAAGTAGGCGCCTCTCATTAAAGCAAGTAACACAAAAACCAGAGACGCGCTCTGCAGTCTCTCGGAACTCCTGGACCCTGTGCCTCTAAATTTGTACCCAAAGCTTGGCTAACAATAGGGAAATTGATCATTCTAAAGAAGGAAATGTTTAGAATACAATTTGGTAGTGTGTGGGTACTAAGAGACTATTCTCAATGCACTACAAGCCCTGCCCTAACCTCCCTTATCTCACCTTATTTACAATCTGTTTTGTAAATTACCCAGGTTTTCTTCAGTGAGAATCAAGTTATACCCTGGATTATCTGGACAAAAGTGTTACCACCCTGGAGACCTTGACTGGAAACCCTCCAGATTCCTCAGGGTCTGTGTTTTCCGTCTGTGACCCCTGGACACACAGAGACATGTAGTGTGAACCAGGGGGTCACAGCCCTGAATCTCACCTCCCTGAATCTCACCTCCAGCTTGTACCAGGGATTAGCTCCTGACTCTAACTTTGTTGCAATACTAATGCTAGTTCTACAATCAATGCACATTTACTAAGTGTTTACCATTGTGTTTCTAGAGAGTTCTGCAGAAGAGACATTATTTAATGGACTATTAACTTTCATAACTGTCTGTTGAGTTAGGTTGTAATTATCAACCACATTTTGCAGAGGTTTAGAAAAGCTGAAAACAATGACTGAACTCAGAGCCAGGAGGGGTGCTGGTGCACTCTTGTGTCACCACGCAGATCCGAGGGTCTTGATGACAGAGTCTCACTTGCCTGAGCGCACCGAGGAAGCAAAAAACAGCCTGGTTCATAGACAACCTTGCCCGACTCCACAGCCTGTGCTCTGCCCATTCCCCCCCACCCCATCCTGAACACCCAGAGGAGATGGGGTATGGATGTGCAGAGTCATTCCTAATAACTGAGTTAGTTTTGATTTCTTTAAAAAAAAAAGGCAGATCTTTAAAAAACAAGATCCATTGTACACACCACTCTCTGATCGGGTTTGACCTTCTTCACGTCGCCGTTAGAAAACCGGATGACGGTCGTCTTCTTATCTGCGCTCGGCTCCTTCTGGCTGGTGTCGGGGAAGGTGGTGATGGCACAACCTTCGCTCGGTGCTCATCCTACCTTTATGGAAACACAAAAACTCCAAGATGAAAAATGATGTAAAGTCTGATTATTGTGGTTTCATTATTTTTCTTCTATTCAGAATTGTTATATGATTATCGCCTACATGGTATTCTAGACACCAGCTGTGATATTTCCCCCCAGATTGTACTAACGGAATAGATCAGGTCCAAATTCCCATCCCTGAGTGTGGTTATCAGTAATGAATAAGTGCTACGATCTGTCCCACAAACATCCGTCTTTCATGAGCTCGTGTCACACAGTGGCCATCAGTCTCGATCATCCATGGCTGGTGACTTGGTGAGTTTAGAATCCTGGGCCATAGGAATTGTGGTAATTACTATGTAAAAATTACTCTTGGCACCTTTTTCTTTCCTTTTCATCCCATTCTTCTGATCTATACGCTCCTACGGCCCATCCCAAAGATGTATTGATTTTCATTAACTATCAGCAAATATTATACAACCTCATATGCATAATGCTGGACAAGGAATGTAGAAAGAATATCTTTGTCTTCGCATTGAAACTATTACTCATGTGAAAATTAGCAAAAGAAAATATATGAGAGAAATAGTCTCAAGATCTGGGGAGTTAAGATAAGTGCGTTTGAAAATTCCAAATGGCAAAATGTGTTTTCGTTATTTATATCGCACTGTCACTCTTAACCATAGCTCAGAAATATAGGCGTCAATTCAGCTGAGAAAATACAAAGGGAGTAAAAGCAAATGCTTGGCTGCTTTAGCTGTCTTCAACCATCCACCAAACAAACCTTGGCGGTGTGCACCACCTGCTGGCCGGGACAGCAGCCTCCTATTTGATGGGGTTTGAACCAAGACGACTCCTTCAACTACTCCCAAACCAACTCGGTGAATGAAGCAAGAATATGTTCAGTTCTGTATCCAAAGATGAATTTTTAACCAACACTAAAAACTCGAGCAACGTTTAAAGAATCAATTACTCTCAGAAGTAATAAAGCACAAATAATTTTTAAAATGTTCCACATGAAAAGAATCATACAATCTATTTTGGAGTTTATATTATTAAAAGAAACAAAATACAAAAAGGGAAAGAATTTTGGCATATCCAATGCAAGATACACAAGAAGTAGATGCAAGATGAGTCATGAGAAGAGGAACGTGATGAAGACCTGGGAAGGAGGGTGGGGGAGCCATGGACGTGGGGGCAGGCAGAGGTGGGTGACCGTTGGTTGTGGGGAGAAAGGAAGGATGGCACTAGTAGAGGGCACAGCACGTTACCTAGGTCTTGTGTCCTCACCTTTACAGTTTCATGAGCTTGAGTGATTGATTCCTCCATGCACTTAGCCAAGGAGGAACATCACTTATGTCTCATGAACCTACCTATGGAGGCGGCAAGATCAGGTACTCAAATGATGTGGGTTTCCTTTTCCCCTGACGAACCACTACAGCCACTGCACTAAACACAAAAGCATTTCAGGGAATTCAAACTGTTACTGCAAGTAGCATTCCCTGTTGCTCACTTGTCCAAATGCTTTATGCGCTTGCGGGACATAAACTCGCCTTTACCGAGGCAGAGTTCTCTCAGCAAAGCAAGCATGAGGCCGACTTCCAGTTTCTAACAGGCCAACAAGAGGTGTTAAACGAACCACCTGTTGAGCTGAAGAAGAAGCGATGATGTGCTGCCCCAGGCAGGACTGGGTCTCCTCGGAACTCACAAAACACCGTGGCTGCAGCCTCAGCCGGTGCCTCTTCTGACCCCTTCCTGAGTCAATGCCGACCACCGCCACCTTGACATGTCCTTCCGGAACTGAGCACTCCTCAAGGGCTAAAATGTGGTGGCTGGAAGATACTTGAGGCTATAGTTTTGAGGAATTTTTAAATATTTAAAACAAACAAATTTTCCTCCTGAAAAGTGTATTGCTTTATTTACTGGAAATAAACTGGCAGTCAACAATGCTGGAAACGTCTGGCCTCCAGGTCAGCGCCCCGTGGCCTGTCTGGAGGGAGCGGCATGCAGACCTCCTGGAAATTGACTCAGGGAAACCGGACCCTTGCCATTTGGATGTCGTTTTTCTTCCTGTACTTCCTCCTTTTTCATCTTAGTGTCCACGGGCTGTGCTGTTTCTAGGGAAGGTGGTGGGTTTACAGGAAGATTCTGCAGAAAGAGCATAATCCTAGTCTCCCATGGTCTCTATGAACACTGCAGTATGAGGTGGGAGAAATGCACCTCGCCCTGGCATTTTGCAGCCTCTGCCTCTAAGTCGGTGGGCGTGGCTGAGCCCCAGACAGTCAGCACCAGGACTTTCGACCATGTTTTGTGTTTTATTAAAGTGCTTATCTCCTACTTGTATGTTTGCCCTGGGGTCAGGGTGGCCACAGTCACAACTGCCCCATTCAACACCTGATACAAGCAGCACACAGAGACACCACCTGCTGTGGCTGCGGGCTTTCTAAATGCAGATCATTGGCCCTGAGGCTTCCAGGTGAACTCATTAGCTGGATCTCCAAACAAAACAAAAAGATGTTCATACTCGTCCCCCAACTGAAGATGTCGGAAAGGGCAGAACAGAATGTGGGCTTTTCACAGGAGAACAGAAAACAAGCGGGACCTGTGTTCTGAGACTTCCCCGCCAGGTGCCTACTTTTACATCACATGTAAGTTCACAGCCCAAATTTCCTGCCGTAGAGAAAATAATTTTATTTTGTTGACTTTTTTTTTGGTAAAATATAGCATGTTACAAGTGGACCACTAGCTAGGGCTTAGAAGTATGCTTGCTATTCTTGCCTTCGGGTCTATTAATGTCAACTGAGAACTGTAAATCAAAATGATAAAAAATGAAATTTTGACATGGGGAACTCATAAGTCATGAAAAATATTCATCTTGTTTGATTATGTGCTAAATGCAACCAACTTAAAGCTTTAAAAAATAGTCTGTCTTTGAAAGGCTGAACCTCAAGAAATAGACATTTGGAATCAACTTAATTTTCTGTTCTTGTCAAGAAGATGGGAAGATGCAACCTTCTCTTGACACCCGCTCTGAATCTCACTTCCCCAGGACGAAAAGGTCATCTTCTCAGGTCTCCCTGAGGGGAGCTGGGCCGGCCACCCTTGCAGAAGCCACTCAGCTCACCTACCTGCAGCTCTTCAATGTTTGGGGAAGAACCGGTCAACTCAGCTTCAACGTGGCTGAGAAATACACCTTCGGAACTCTCTAAGACTGATGAGCTTCTGTCTAAAAAGCAAATAAGTTAAATTTAGAAGGACAGTGCATATACATTGTGGAAATATCATTATCTTAATGCGATTGCTAAATCCAATTTAAGTGAATGGGTGAACAGGCTCTCTCTTGTTCATGAGATCACCATACACATGTCAGATGAGTTCAACAACAGGTGATCCTGTAAGGAACATTACTTCTTTAATGAATACACTCAGTCATTATTTCTTGGGCCTCGCTCTCTTTCGAGTATTCTGATGGATCAGGTGATTCATGGATGGAAAGGCACTGCCTCGGCCCTGAAGCTTCTGCCGGTACTGCGGGAGACAGACACAGGAGAGAAAAGCCGGATCCCTGTGCCATTGGCTTACGGGACCTATGAAGGGACAGGGCCGTGGTGAAGGAGAATCACAGGCTTCCAGGAGAGCCAGGGATCAGCGGGGGCTTCCCCAGGATGGCCTCACTGGCAGCTGAGATGATGCCTGGAGGTTGCAGAGGTGCCAGCAGGTGTGTGGGAGACAAGGCCTCCCGTTCTGCCCGGCACCTGCAAGTAAACTGACATCTTGTCTGGGGGCCTGAAGGGAAAGGGGCAGCAGGAACAAGGTGGCCAGGCTGGTGCAGACCCAATGGGAAGGGCTTCCCTGCCCCGCAGAGGAGCACAGAGGGCACTGTGAGGGCACGCAGAGCCTGGGGTGGTCTGAAGCAGACAGATGACACCAGCCTCACCTCTGCGAAGCTCCCTGCAGAGGCCATGGAGCAGCCTGGGGGACAGGAGGCCTGGGGAGCAGACCCAGAAGGAAAACAGGGTTGGGCTCTGCCCTGCAGGGCCACACAGGCCTGGGCCAAGGATGGGAAGGAGTCCAGGTGCCAGGCAGCCCAGGGGGAGTGGTGCCCACGGGGTTGGGCTGTGTTGTGCATAAGGACCACACCTGAGGCTTGCCCACTATGAGGCCTCTGTTTCTTTACCAAGATAGGTTCCTGCGGGATTCGTGAAGCTGCTATGGCCATTTTCTGGCAGCAACGTGAGGAAGGAATTCTTTCCCAACTCTCCCAGGGGCACTCCTGGCTCCTCCTGCTGGGACCCCTGATACAGAAAGCACCCACAGCTGCATGGACAGAGCTGGGGCTTGGGAAGAGGCCAGGCAGGTGCCAGATGAGAGGGCACTCCCATCAGGTGGCAGCAATGCCATGCGCAGGCAATCGGAGAAAAGGGAACAAAGCCCCTGAGGCCTCCCAGGCCCAGCCTTCTGCTAGGAGTGTGCTCAGGGGGAAGCGGCCAGTAGGATTCGGAATCTCCAGCCACAGGCCCTGGAGACCAGCACGTGGGCTGTGTGTGGGGTGGCAGTTGGGGGTGTCGGCAAGACTCCCAGGTGAGGACCCAATGAGGGAATCAGGCAAAAGGTGGCCAGAAATTAGGCAGCTCCATGAAGGACATGTCCTTGCTGTGGTAGGATGTTCTACTCACGTGTATCGACAAGAAAGCCCTGCGTTTTACAGGAAGCATGGAAACAGTTAGGAGTCCCCGACCCTGCTCACCAGCTCCTCCAGCTGCTGCCGTCTGCTCCTGCAGTGTGGCGGCCTGGGAAGCCTGCACTGGTGATTTTCTGCCACTGGAGTTCTGTGGACTTCGGGAAGATGGGTGCATTACCTGGGGCAACGACAGTCAGAGGCCCCCCTTGTTACAAGGTCCCTGCAGCCAGCAATGCCTCCAACCCAAAGGCTGGGAGCATGAAGCCATCTTCAGCCATCCACAATTTCCAGCAAGAACCCAGGGCTCACCCAACAGCCCTGCACTCCACACTACAAGGTAGGTCAATTATTATTATTATTATTTTTTGAGATGGAGTCTTGCTCTGTTGCCCAGGCTGGAGTGCAGTGGCCGGATCTCGGCTCACTGCAAGCTCTACCTCCTGGGTTTA